GAAATGATGAATGAAACATTAACAGCATAACACTTACCTTTATTGGAGATTCTTCTTAGTGTATGGGAGACTGGAGGAGAAGAGAGAGAGAGTGGATTGTTTATAGTTTGGAAGGGGAATCCTCTTCCATCAACACCTCAGGTACCATTTGCTTTTCTGGGGTTGCTTCTCTTCTCCGTTTCTTAATGCCACTAGGACCACCTTGAGAGTCACTGGAGTCCTGTCTCACAAAATAACTGTGGAGAGAGCTCTGTTTCTGGCGTCTCTTTAACACTTCCCTAAAATGGCCCAAGACTTTGTCACTGTACATGTTGCCAATATGGCTTGCAACAACCTTGTTAGGGTTATGTTTCTCCATAAAGCTTTCCATCTTACCCCACATAGTAAAAATCTCTAATTTCTGAAGAAGGCACCTTCTTCCATCTCTCTTCCTCCTCCTCTGCAGCAAGATTCTGAGCTGCGATGTGTTGCTCTTCCTGTTGAAGCTCTTGCAGCTCCTCAGTGGTGAGCTCTTCATTGTGGTCTTCCACCAATTCTTCCACATCCTCCAAACTCACATCCAACCCCATGGAACTCCCCAGTGCCACAATTGATTTTACAACAGACATAGGCTCATTAGGGTCAGTCCCAAATCCTTCAAAATCCCTCTTGTCAACACAATCTGGCCACAATTTTCTCCAGGCAGAGTTCAAAGTCCTGGTAGTCACTCCCTCCCAAGCCATACCTATAAGGGTTATGCAGTGGAGGATGCTGAAGTGTTCTCTCCAAAATTCCCTTAGGGTCAAGTGAGTGTCTGTGGTCACAGTCAAGCACCTGTGAAACATTGCTTTTGTGTAGTTTTTTTTAAAGTTTGCAATGACCGGCTGGTCCATGGGTTGGAGGAGAGGAGTGGTATTCGGGGGCAAGAACTTTACTGTGATGAACCCAAACTCCTCGAAAATTAGGTCATCCAAGTTTGGAGGATGAGCAGGTGCATTGTCCATTACTAGCAGGCACTTGAGATCAAATTTCTTTTCCAGGAGATACTCCTTCACACTAGGGCCAAACACTTCATTGAACCACTCGACGAAAACTTCCCTCGTGACCCATGCCTTACTATTAGATTTCCAAAACACACACAATTTACTCTTCATAACATTATTTTTCCTGAACACTCTGGGATTTTCAGAATGGTACACTAGTAATGGCTTCACTTTGAAATCCCCACTAGCATTAGCACAGAACATTAGTGTCAGCCTGTCTTTCATAGGCTTGTGTCCTGGCATTGCCTTTTCCTCATGTAATGAAGGTCCTCTTTGGCATTTTCTTCCAAAAGAGGCCTGTTTCGTCACAACTGAACACTTATTCAGGTTTCAGTCCTTCAGCCTCTATGTACTCCTGGAATTCATGCACATATTTTTCAGCTGCCTTGTGGTCCGAACTGGCAGCCTCACCATGCCTTACCACTAGTATGCCAGTACGGTTCTTAAATCTCTCAAACCAGCCTATGCTGGCCTTAAATTCACTCACTTCACCACTATTTGCAGGCAATTTCTTTACCAAATTTTCATGAAACTGCCTAGCCTTTTCACAAATAATCGAAGTCATAAGAGTATCTCCTGCTAATTGTTTCTCATTTATCCACACCAATAATAACTTCTCAACCTCTTCCGGTACTGGTGATCTCATTTTTGTCAGCATAGTTACTCCCTTCGCAACAACAGCATCCTTTATTTCCTTTTTCTTGGCCACTATGGAACATAAGGTTGTGTAGGGTTTCTTATACATCCTGGACAGTTCGGCCACACTTGTACCACTTTCATATTGTTCAATGATGGTTTTCTTAAATTCAATCGTATTTCTCACCTTCTTTACCACAGGCTTGGCACTAGGAGCTTTCTTTGGAGCCATGGTAGCTTATTTAGTACTTGCAAGCACTAAAATAAATGGAATATTATGAAATATTTTGCTGGAGCACTGGCTGCCGCCCCGGCTCACGCCGTGGGTACGCGTCCCGGACGAACTACGACTTGCGAGTCAACCTATGAAAAGAGAGTCCATGTTTATACGAAAATACCCCTATGATTGGCAAATTTTACGATTGCCGGGAACTACGAAAAGCGGGGGACCACTGCAATTGCAAAGTATGAAAGTGGAGTGCGTGTGTCAGAGCTGGTCAGGTTGTATAGTAAACCCCAATCAACCATCTCTACTATAGTGAGCAAGAAAACAGCAATCAAGGCAGCTGTTCTTGCAAAAGGTGCAACTGTGATTACGAAACAGCGACTGCAAGTGTTAGAAAATGTTGAGAGACTGTAATTGGTGTGGATAAATGAAAAACAGATAGCAGGAGATAGCATCTCTCAAGCAATCATTTGTGAAAAGGCTAGGCAGTTGCATGACGATTTGGTAAAAAAATTGCCTGCAACTAGTGGTGATGCGAGTGAATTTAAGGCCAGCAAAGGTTGGTTTGAAAGATTTAAGAATCGTAGTGTATACATAGCGTGATTAGGCATGGTGAGGCTGCCAGTTCAGACCACAAAGTGGCTGAAAAATATGTGCATGAATTCAAGGAGTACATGAAACCTGAACAAGTGTTTAATTGTGACGAAACAGGCCCATTTTGGAAGAAATTACCAAGCAGGACCTACATTACTCAGGAGGAAAAGGCACTCCCAGGACATAAGCCTATGAAAGACAGGCTTACTCTGTTGATGTGTTCCAATGCTTGTGGTGATTGCAAAGTGAAGCCTTTATTGGTGTATCACTCAGAAACTCCCAGAGCGTTCAGGCAAAAGAATGTCCTCAAGGCTAATTTGTGTGTGCTGTGGAGGGCAAACAGTAAGGCATGGGTCACTAGGGACTTTTTCAATGACTGGTTACACCATGCATTTGCCCCAGTGTGAAAAATTACCTAATTGAAAAGGAATTAGACCTTAAGTGCCTCCTGTATTAGACAATGCCCCTGGTCATCCTACAGACTTGTCAGAGCGACTTTGGGGACATGAGTTTCATTAAGGTCAAGTTTTTGCCTCTAATACCACTCCTCTCCTGCAGCCCATGGACCAGCAGGTCATTTCCAACTTCAAGAAACTGTACACAAAAGCTATGTTTGAAAGGTGCTTTGAAGTGACCACAGAAACTCAATTGACTCTAAAGGAGTTTTGGAAGGATCACTTTACTATCCTCAATTGTGTAAAACTTATAGGTAAGGCTTGGGAGGGAGTGACTAAGAGGACCTTGAACTCTGCCTGGAAGACTGTGGCCAGAATGTGTAGACAAAAGGGATTTCGAAGGGTTTGAGGCTAACCCTGAGAAGCCTATGCCAGTTGAGGAATCCATTGTGGCATTGGGGAAGTTCTTGGGGTTGGAGGTTAGTGGGGAGGATGTGGAAGAGTTGGTGGAGGAGGACAATGAACTAACCACTGATGAACTGCTAGATCAACTTCAACAGCAAGAGGCCACACCTGAGGAAATTGCTTCGGAGGAGGGGAGAGAGAAATTGAAGAAGTTGCCTACTTCAAAGATTAAGGAAATCTGTGCAAAGTGGCTTGAAGTGCAAACCTTCATGGATGAAAATCACCCTCAGACAGCTATTGCAAGCCGTGCTGGTGACTATTACACTGACAATGTTGTGAACCACTTTAGGAAAGTCATAAAGGAACGAGAGGTACAGGCCTCTATGGACAGATATATTGTGCGACAGAGGTCCAGTGACTCTCAACCTGGTCCTAGTGGCATTAAAAGAAGAAGGGAAGTAACCCTGGAAAAGGACTTGCTACCTCAAGTCCTAATGGAGGGGGATTCCCCTTCTAAATGCTAACACCATCCACACTCTCCCCTCCTCCCATCCCATCAATCGCCAGATCTTCATTAAAGGTAAGTGTCAATTATTCTTTCGTTATTTGTTATTATAATTACTATTCTATTGCATTAAACTTAATATTTCATGTGGTAAAAGTTTTTTTTTTTCATACTTTTGGGTTCACACACAAATATCCCGCACATAAAAGAGAGAAGCTTACGACGACGTTTCGATCCGACTTGGACCATTGACTTTGTCAGTGGTCCAAGTCGGACCGAAACGTCGTCGTAAGCTTCTCTCTTTTATGTGTGGGTTATTTGTGTATCGTGCCTTTTTTGTTATTTATATACTTTTGGGTGTTTTGCACGGATTAATTTGATTTCCTTTATTTCTTATGGGGAAAATTTATTCGTTTTCCGATATTTTTGGTTTACGATGAGCTCTCAGGAACGGATTAGTATCGCGAACCGGGGGTCCACTGTACTTTTCATTGTAAAACCAGTCAAAATCATCTCAATTTCTGTAATATGTCTTCCATTCTATAAAATGAGACCAGGAAAACTAGAATACAACAATAAATACCATACGAAAATACAGTGCACAGTCGCTGTTTTAATGCAAAAACACCGTCAAAGTTTTTTTTCTCATTACGCACTGTGTGCTGCAGGATTTTTTTTTATACTGCACACACTGACCACAGACCCATTCTTTCATATGTAGGCCTACCAGCTTTCTCTCACTAGATTTGAGGGCGCTAGAATTTAGGCATACTAGTACGTCAAAAACCCTGGGGCGTAAGCCATACTAGTACAGTCGAAACCCTGAAAGGGTTTTGGAACCTCCCTTGAGGGGGAGGTACGCATCCTGAAATTTCGTTCATATCGAGAAGCAAAAAATCGACCGAACGACAGTTCATATCCTGAAAAGTTTGCATGGTGGGGCGTTCGAAAGCCAAGGTTCCACTGTATAGTGCCCAAGCAGTGAGGTCTATATGACTCCTCCATCTGTCATGACTCTTACTATACAATCACAACAACACAGAAAAAACACATTCACCATCATTCACTCCCCAGCTATCTTTTCAGCTACAGAGCTTTAGTGGCACAAACAGTGGCAGTCATATTTATCAGGTTTATAAGGATTATGAGAGATAAACCTCAAAAAATAAGTAGGTTTAAGAGTTTCATGGTATTGTATACACATCAGCTACACATACTTAGTAAACCGCTGTCTATGACTTCAGGTAATTCACACCACAATGTCCGTCGACCATCCGCTGGGGTGACAAGCTCCATGGCTGAGGGGCGGGACTGTAACTTCCTAGCTTGTGTACCATGGTGTCCATCATTGATTACCTGGTAACATTAAACACAGTATTAATGTATATTTTTTTGTTGTTTGTCTATACACCTAGCAGCAGCAGCAATAATTATAATTATTAAATAATACTTAATAATAATAATAATAGTAATAATTATAATAATAATAAATAATATTAATAATTAATAATATTAATAATAATAATAATAATAATAATATAGATAATAATAATAATAATAATAATATTAATAATAATAATAATTATAATAATAATAATGATATATTAATAATAATAATAATAATAATTAATAATTATAATAATAATAATTAATAATAATAATAATTATAATATATAAGAATATAATAATAATAATAATAATAAATAATTAATAATAATAATAATACTAATAATAGTAGTAGTCGTGTCCGTTAGTAGTAGTGTAGGTTGGTAGACAGCATCCACCCAGGGAGGTACTACCGTCCTGCAAGTGAGTGTAAAACGAAGCTGTGGATTGTTTTTACAAGATGTAGGATTGCTGATGTCTTTTTGTTGTCTCATAAATATGCAAGATTACAGGCATGTTTTTATACTTCTACTTACATTAGGGTCACCACTACACATATCATGAACAATTTTTTTTATACACACTCATCTGAGTTTTCTTTGATTTTATCTTTAAAGTTCTTGGTCTTATTAATTTTCCTTTTATATCCATGGGGATGTGGAATAAGAATCTTCCTCCGAAAGCATGACGTGTGTTGTAAAAGTCAACTAAAATGCCGGGAAACAATGGGCTAGTAACCCCTTTTCCTGTAAAGATTACTAAAGAATAAGAAGAAGAATAATTGTCCAAAGTGGGAAGTCTGAATGTGCGTGGTGTTGTGCAGAAGATGATAAGAAAGAGATGATTGTGGATGTTATGGAATGAGAAGAAGTGGATGTCCTAGGCTTTAAGTGAAACCAAAGCGGAAGTGGGTGGGAGGAGTATCAGTGAGAGTGGAATAAATGGGATTAGTCAGGGGTTTCAAAATAGAGTCAGAGCTAAAGAAGGGAAGTAGAATAATGTCGAAGGATAGCTATGGGCAGGAAAAGAGGGACTATAAATGGTATTAATTCAGGATTATGTGGAGTAAATAAAGATTGATGGGAAAGTGGAGTTATAATTGCGTGTTTGCACCTGGAGAAGAGAGAAGTGTAGAGGAGATAGAGAGATTTTGGGAAATGTTGAGTGAATGCGATGGGGAGTTTTGAATCAAAGTGTGAGAGTAATGGTGGTTGGGGATGTTCAATGCTAACGTGGCGGTGTAAAAATGTTATGAAGAGTAGAGGTAAATTTGGGGTGCCAGGGGAAATTGTAAATTGGGGAGCCTTTAATTGAGCTATTGTTGTAGAAGAAATTTGGTACTTAAGTAATACATATTTTATTGAAAAAGAGGATATAAATATACAAGGTATGAGGTAGCACGTTAATGAAAGTAGTTATAGATTATGTATTGGTGGATTAGGTTGATGGGTAGGCTCCAGGATGTTCATGTTTATAGAGGGGCAACTGATATATGGATCATTATTAGTTGTAGCTACAGTTAGAGTAATAGGTAGATGGGAAAAGAGGAAGGTGGGCAACAACAGTTAAGAGGGAGGTGAAAAGTGTAATAACTAAGGGAGGGAAGTTCAGGGTGTGAGATATAAGCGGATTTGGCGAAAGGTGGGGTAGCTGCAAGATGAGTAGTGGGGGGGTTGAAGAGGGTTGGAAATAGTTTTAAGAATGCAGTATTAGTATGTGGGGCAGAAGTTTGTGGTTATAGGAGGGTGGGGGGGGCAGGAGGGAAGAGGCAGCCTGATTGTGGGAAATGATGAAGTGAAAGGGTGTGATAAAAGAGAAAAACGGTAGGCGTATGAGAGGTTTTTACAAAAGCAGAAGAAGTGTTATAAGAAGAGCAGAGTATATGGAGGAGTAAAAGAAAGGTAAAGAGAGTGGTGAGAGAGTGCAAAAGGAGAGCAGATGAAGAGTGGGAGAGGCACTGTCAAGAAATTTTATTGAAAATAAGAAAAATTTTGGCGTGAGTTAAACAAGTTAAGGAAGCCGAGGTAAATTGGATTTGTCAGTGAAAAACAGAGTAGGGGAGTTAGTAGATGGGAGATGGAGGTTATTGGGTAGACGGCGGAGAATATTTGGAGGGAACTTTTTAAAATGTTAAGGAAGAAACAGAGGCAGTAATTTCATGCACTGGTCAGGGAGAGGTATTCATTTTAGAGATGAAGAAGAGCAGAATGTATGTGTGGGGGAGGTACGTGAGGCATTACGTAAAATGAAGGGGGTTAAAGCAGAGGAAACTGATGGATCATGACAGAAATGTTTAAAAGCAGGGGGGGATATAGTGTTGGTGTGGTTGGGTACTTTTGTTTAATAAATGTTATGAAAGAGAGGGAGGTACCTTGGATTGGCGTGTGAGCATGTATCGTCCCTTTATATAATGGGAAAGGGGACAAAAGGACTGTAAAATTATTGAGGAATAAGCTTAACTGAGTTTTTTTATACCAGGAAAAGTGTACTGGTAGGGTTATAATTGAAAGAATTAGAGGCAAGACAGCATGTACGGATTGCGGATGAGCAAGGAGGTTTTAGGAGTGGGTAGGGGATGTGTAGATCAGGTGTTACATTGAAGCATATATGTGAACTGTATTTAGATAAAGATAGGGAGTTTTTATTGCATTTATGGATTTAGAAAAAAAGGCATAGATAGAGTGGATAGTGGAGCAAATGTGGCAGATGTTGCAAGGATATGGAATAGGTGGTAAGTTATAAATGCTGTAAGAGTTTTTTTTTGAGCGATTAGTGAGGCTCACGTTCGGGTTCGTAGAAGAGAGGAGGACTACTTCCCGGTTTAAAAAGTATGGTCTTAGACAGGGATGGGTAATGTCACCATGGTTGTTTAATATATTTATAGATGGGGTTGTAAAGGAAGTAAATGCTAGGGTGCTTTGGGGGGGGGGGGGACGAGGGAGTGGATTAAATTATGGGGATCAAATTCAAAATGGGAATTGACACAGTTACTTTTTTGCTTGATGATTACCGTGCATTATGGCGATTCTAAGAAATGCCTAAAGGTTGTGGATGAGTTTGGGAATGTGTGTAAAGGTAGAAAGTTGAAAGTTGACATAGAGAAGAGTACAGGTGATGAGTGGGTCAAATGATTTAGATAAAGCAAATTGGATATCATAATTGGGGAGGAGGAGTATGGAGAAGTGAATGTTTTCAGTTACTTGGGAGTCTGACGTCGTCGGCGGATGGGGATTTATGAAGGATGAGGTTAATCATAGAATTGATTGAGGGAAAAAGGTGGTGGTGCGTTGAGGTAGATGTGGAGTCAAAAACGTTATCTATGGAGGCAAAGAAGGGAATGTATGAAAGTATAGTAGTACCCACACTCTTATATGGGTGTGAAGCTTGGGTGGTAAATGCAGCCAGCGAGGGAGAGGTTGGAAATGGCAGTGGAGATGTCCTGTTTAAGGGCAATGTGGGTGTAAATAATATGCAGAAAATTCGGTGGTGGAAATTAAGGAGAGGTGTGAGAGTTAATAAACGTATTAGTCAGAGGGGCAGAAGAGGGTTGTTGAGGTGGTTTGGTCATTTGAGAGATGGATCAAAGGTTGGAATGACCTTGGAAAGCATATAATCTATAGCCGGGAAGGAAGGAGGGGTAGGGGTCGTCCTCGAAAGGGGTGGAGCGAGGGGGTAAAGGAGTTTTGTGGGTATAGGGGCTTCGACTTTCCAGCAGCGTGCGAGAGCTGTGTTAGATAGGAGCTGAAATGGAGACGAATGGACTTGGGACCTGGACGATCTGTTGGAGTCGTTGAGCAGGGTAATATTTAGTGAAGGGAAAGGATTCAGGGAAAACGGTTATTTTTCTTATAGTCGGGACTTGAGTCTGGGAAAATGGGAAGAAGTACAATGCTGCACTTTAAAGGAGGGTTTGGGATATTGGCAGTTTGGAGGGATATGTTGTGTATCTTTATTGTGTGTATGCTTCTAGATGTGGTATCTGAGCACCTCTGCAAAAACAGTGATAATGTGCGAGTGTGTGGTGAAAGTGTTGAATGATGGATTGAAAGTATTTCTTTTTGGGGATTCTTTTTTTTTTTTTTTGGTACCCTGCCTCGGTGGGGACGGCCGACTTGTGAAAAAAAAAAAAAAAAAAAAAAAAAAAAAAAAAAAAAAAAAAAATAATAATATAATAATAATAATAATAATAATAATAATAATAATAATAATAATAATAATAATAATAATAATAATAATAATAATAATAATAATAATAATAATAATTACAGTGGACCCCAAATACCGTTGGCCTTGCATAACGTTAAATCCGCATACCGCTACATTTTATCGCCAAGATTTTGCCTCGCATACCGCTAAAAAACCCGCTCAACGCTGTTCGTCCGAGACGCGTCTAATGTGCGCCCTTAGCCAGCCTCACATGTTCCGCCGGTGGCATTGTTTACCAGCCAGCCTCCGCGGTAACATCCAAGCATACAATCGGAACATTTCGTATTATTACAGTGTTTCTGGTGATTTTATCTGCAAAATAAGTGACCATGGGCCCCAAGAAAGCTTTAGTGCCAACCCTACAGCAATAAGGGTGAGAATTACTATAGAGATGAAGAAAAAGATCGTTAGGTAAGACACATATGCAACAGTTAGGTATCTTTATTTCGAAACGTTTCGCCTACACAGTAGGCTTCTTCAGTCGAGTACAGAAAGGTTGATAGAAGCAGAAGATACTTGAAGACGATGTAATCAGTCCATCACCCTTAAAGTTTTGAGGTGGTCAGTCCCTCAGTCTGGAGAAGAGCATTGTTCCGTTGTCTGAAACAATATTGTTTCAGACAACGGAACAATGCTCTTCTCCAGACTGAGGGACTGACCACCTCAAAACTTTAAGGGTGATGGACTGATTACATCGTCTTCAAGTATCTTCTGCTTCTATCAACCTTTCTGTACTCGACTGAAGAAGCCTACTGTGTAGGCGA